TACGCGGACCAGGGCAAGCTGGGCGAGGCAGAGAAGATGTGCGAGCGAGCGCTGCAAGGATATGAGAAGGCACTCGGGGCAGAGCACACATCGACACTCTCCACGGTTAACAACCTGGGCCTTCTCTACGCGGACCAGGGCAAGCTGGGCGAGGCAGAGAAGATGTACGAGCGAGCGCTGCAAGGATACGAGAAGGCGCTCGGGGCAGAGCACACATCGACACTCGACACGGTTAACAACCTGGGCAACCTCTACAAGAACCAGGGCAAGCTGGGCGAGGCAGAGAAGATGTACGAGCGAGCGCTGCAAGGATACGAGAAGGCACTCGGTCCAGAAAATGTTACCACTTATGTCCCAGCATTAAATACTGCCTATAATCTGGGCTCGCTACTCGCTACTGAACAAAAGGTAAACAGATCAAGAGCAATGTTTTCTAGGGCCCTCGTAGGTTACGAGAAAGTCTTTGGGCATACTCATAAAGAGTGCTGGGATGTGCGGGCGAAGCTTAGTGCTTTGAATTCTTCAAGGAGCAATATAAATCTCCCAATTAGTGTAGTAGATGATTGCACGGACACCACATCGCGAGGTTTTTCGCACTCTAACGCTGATGTAAACAAACCCACGTCGAAACGGCATAGACTATTTAAAAAACTTGGCTGGAAATAACTTAGTTAGAATAGAATAGATACCAACTTACCAGCTATATATTGCAAGCGATATGGTATATGTTCTCTCCGGTAGAGCTATGCTATTCGTGTAATATATTAGATCACCAAGGAGAGGTACTGGATAGAATTCAGGAGGACTGTAACAACAAAATTAAGATGAGCTACTTAATATATCCCTAGTAACAACCTAACGGGGTCTACAAAGGTAGGGTTATGTCGCTGCAGTTGTAATGCCGGATTCGGTAAATGTTGATGAATATAACTCGCCAAAGGCCCTAAGCATGCCTAAGGTGTGCCTAACTAGCAATGGTCTCATTTTGTTTCCCGCAGTGGACCCCGTTCCGAGCCTGGTTCTGGATCCTTCTCCTGAGATCCGATCTGGCCGTGGCTGGCGGCCGTGCACGGAACCTGTTGGCACCCACCACAGATCCCGTATCGTACTATATACCGCTAAGTAGCAACAACATGCACCCCAACTCTTTTCTTCATCCACGCCGAGAAAAAAAAACGCCTCTTACACTTGTCAGTTCAAGCTGTGGTAGAGAAATACCTTCTTGTGCCGTGGCAAATCACGTGCCTAGGCTAATGGTACCTAACCGGATATATAGGGTGCCGAAGCTTTTGCCACATTGAAAGTTGGTTAGGGATAGCGTAGAATGCAATACAGCTAGCTTAACATTGAATGCCGCGCTAAAATCTCCTATCAAGACTTACTTAGGACCTTTTCGAACGGATAAATCCGGAATGCATACTCCTAAAGAGTAAATGTTTTTAAAACTTGAGGTTACCCTCTCTCATAATAGAGCTTTCAATTTCATGCTCTGAAGCTCTATATTTTGTAGTTAGTCGTGGTGCAGCATGGGTATAAAGGAAATGCAGTTTTAAGTGCTTTGAACGGAACGATCGACGGCATGCTCAAAAGTAGTGTAGTGTTTGGCTGCGTACTTGTTTCCTAGGCAGAAATGTCTAAAGAGTAGTAGTATTATACTAATTGTTACTCAATAGAATCGCGAGGGAGAGAGTTAAGATGCCGAGACAATGGATTCATTCCGGCACGGGGGGTTTTCCGCCACGCAGGGGGGACGTTACTCCACAGGAATTTCCCATCTGGACTGCGAACTGCGGCAGTGGTAGTTCTTCCGGGTGCTAGCAATATTTGCACTCTTTTAACATTTAGAATAACTGATTAGTCACTTTTTAGATTCGGTTGATTCCATTGGTTTTTTGGCTGGCGTAGAATACTGCTGGCGCCTCCATGGTGGAGACGACATGTTACCAACCTCCTGTTGCTGGTCGCCGGCCGTGTAGTTGAAATCCATGAAATTTAAATTCAAACCCGACTACTAGACCTTTGAGCTAGGCGCTCCTTTGAGGGCATAGCTTTGACAATAGCGTCGATAGCTTTTTGGATGTTATTAGGCGGCTTAGTGTGGATGTAGACCTCAGCGTCCGCAAGATAGGTGTAGCGTCGTGACGAGGACCGTTTGGTGCCTGGATGTTGAAAGCTGTTGGCGGGATCCATTTTCTCCTTCTCCTCGTTGAATATTCGTAAGTTCTCCTTGAGAAGCTTGTCCTTGCCTATAGTATGTATTCTAAACCGGGAGATATATATGTTTTCCTATACGCGTTCAGTAATATCCGGCCTAGGCCGAATATTTAAAGAACGCCACACGTAGGTGTATCTAAGCTCGCTGAGGTAATCGGGCCTGGGACGCGCAGCTGAGCAGGCAGTAAATAGACAAGCCAGTGCCCGGCGCTGTATAAAAGCATGACTGCGCCTCGTGTTCCAACCTCAGCTCCCGATCTGCCTCCATAACGAATAACGAGTCACGAACACGAACCGCAATCTCCGCTCTCCTCCACCATGTCGCGCTCCTCCCACACCCTCCACGTCGCCGCCCTGATCCCCGCCAACATCTCGCCCTCCGACATCATCGCGACCCTCCACAACCACACAAACTGCCTAACGGTGCAGTCGCTGACGTGCGGCCACCAAGAAGTCCCCGCGCACGACGACGTGCAGAGCGACCCCTACTTCGCGCCGACGTCGTCCGCGCCGCCCGCGCCGCTCAAGAGCTACGAGGTCACCGAGGTCGTTACCATCGTGCCGGGCATCGGCGACTGGGGCAAGAAGACGATCAAGTTCTTCTCGCACTTCCAGGACACGGCGACGGGGCTGCGCACGCGGGCCGATGCCAGCATGGGCGTCGTGCTGCACGCCGAGTACCGCGTGCAGCCGGGCGGCGCGGACGGCGAGGTCGACGGGGAGGGCGAGGGGATTGGATACGCCGAGTGGGTGCTTGCGGAGGAGGTGACGGTGGAGTGCTCGTGGTGGCTGATGCCGCTCGTCAAGGGGAATGTGTACAAGGCGCATCGGGATATGGTGAGGAAGCTGGTGGAGCAGGTGATTGCGGAGAAGAATGCGCAGAGGATTGCGATGGGGACGGGGGCATATTAGAGGTGGGGATATGGATGTGTGGGTTGGAGTTTGGAGTTTTGGGGAAGAGCGCGATTTTAAGTGGGATATCCATTATACGTGGAGGGAGCGAGGTAATTCATAATATCAACACCGCCTAGGAATCAGTTTGGAGCGTGTAGATGCGGCTTCACGTATTGGGAAGATCGAAGAAGACATCTTCGTGGGTTACCCGTTTTATGCGTGGACAAGGCGTATCCAGCCCCAAATCACATGCCAAACTAAGATTTGAGGATGATTATGCCCAAGAAAGGATCCCTATGCATAAAAGGCATGCGACTTGCTAGTGTGCATGATTCAATGTTACCTAGTTTCATAGTAATCGTATTGTTGCGCTAAGCCTCGGCCAGGTAATGCTGCAACGCAAGGAGCTCGGAACTGGGAATGAACCCGAAAAAAGATGAAGCTATGCCGGCTCCTCGCGGGACATCGTTCCCATGAATAAGTCGCTGTATGAACTCTCTATCGAAGGAACAAACCTTGGTAGAGTCAAGAGCACCTAGGTATTCCTTCCGGTCTCCATGAGAAGTCATTCATATCATGAGGCAGGTGTTGCCGGTACGCGGGTACGGAACAGTGAAGGAGAAGCTAGGGTCGCTGGACGACCCCTTACACTGCCACCACATGGATATCAGCCCCCAGAATTGCTCAAATCAGACTAAATAAAGAACCCTAGTAAGGCTGAGTTGCCCGCCTTGATCGAAAAAGACAATGGTGTTCCGGCTAGCACCCATCGCTGGATCCCAGATGATGATCATTCTAACACCAGGGGTCACAGCCCGGATCGAATAAGAGCGCTTGCAGAGCGCCCGGTCCTTCAGAACTCTTACAAAGGTAGCCCGAACAGGCGCTTGGGGCCTATTTAGTTCCTCTCGTAGTCATTGTTTGCTGTGCCCCCAACAGAAATGGCTCCTAATTGTCTCAGCTTCAGCCCCGGGACAGTGAGCCGTCAGTCCACTCCCAAATCTCCGTCACGCGTATAAAGACGCGCCTTGACCCTTCGTGGGGTTCTCTCACGTTTTCCCAGCCTTACGGTGCTTCCAATCCATTGTTCATTGCATTGAGAATCAGTGTCGTTTGCGGTCACTCCATCCTTTATCCATTCCATCAATTCCGGAGTGATTTACGATTTACTTCAGCTCGGTCTCCTCTACATAACACTCTTCATCTCTCTCAGCTCCCTCGCCCACCTTCAAAATGGCACAAAAAAGAGATTGGGAGCACAGCGGGGCTAGCTGCTTCACGCCTTTCACAACCTGTACGTGTGATCACATCCGCTCTGAGTCTGAAAATATGAAACCATGGAGCTAATCGTGTTCCATCCAGGCCTCCTTTCGAACTGCTGTCCTTGCATCACCTACGGACGTACCTATCACCGCCTCACAAAAGGAAAAGAATTGGAGGGCTACTCCTGCTGCAACCTACCTGTAAGGCCTCCATATTTCACACTCTTCCATTCCTCCGTTACCGCAATCCAACCCTTCTCAACCCTATCATCGTCATCATGTCCTCATTCTCGAGGCCTTACTCACACTCCCCAGTGCGTCGGCTTCTGCCTACTGACCGGCTTCGGATTAAGCTGGATCATGTCTATGCTCCAGCGTGGCGAGGTCCGGGCCGGCTACCAGCTAAAAGGCAACGCCTGCACCGACTGCCTCTGTTCTTGCTGCTGCATGCCCTGCGATCTGACCCAGCAGGACAAGGAAGTCCAATTCCGAGAGCGCGAGAAGGCCGAAAAGGCCCACCTCATCGTCAACGAGCAGCCCAACAAGGAGGCCAACATGGGATACCAGCCACAGCCACAATACCAGCCACAGCAGGCCTACCAGCCACATGGGCAGCAACAGCCGTCATAATACCCACCACAATACCAGCAGCAGCCGCATCAGCATTGAGTGATGCTAGACGTGACGTAGGAACGAAGAAATGGGGATGTATGGACTGTTGATTTGGGACACTGGGAGGGGAAGGATTTGAATGCGTCCAGGGCGAATACCAGACCGGCTATGTTTTTTTCTTCTGTACGAGCAGCCGAGTCAATTGGAAGATTTCTATAACGATCACGAAGAGCACGTTCTCTTCATGGTAATTCATGTGACGTTTCAGCACGCTGACGTAGTAGCGCTGACCTGAAACGAACATCAAACAGGTACCTCAACCGACTTTCTACAATAGTCCTTACGCACTAATCTCCAGATCGCGTATGCACTCTCTTCATTGCAATCGTGGTTTATTGATTCATCAAGTATTTTGTTCGCTTCTCAATACTCGCTTTTCAATACTCGCTTTCCCATGCCCACCCACCTCAACCTAACAGCGCAAACCCTGTCATCACTTCAACACCTATACCCTGTCATCACTTCAACACCTATACCCTCCATCACTCCCCTTCCTCTCCTCTCACACCCCCGTATCCCCCACACAAACCCCGGAACAATCTGCACACTCATCATCCAGAATATTAACACATTCATACCCCTTTGGACAGCCCAGCCCCCAATACCCTCCGCACCTTCTGTGATGCCTTGGGTGAGGTAGTCGTTGTAGCAGGATAGGGCGGCGGCGTTTTTGCACTTGCACTCCTATTTGCTGATTGTTAGCGTAGGTTTTCTTTGGAGGAGTCTGTTGACGTACAGCGATGAGCTCGAGAGGGCAGATTGGCGGTTCGCAGTAGCAGAGGGCATTTTCATACACGGGAGTGGCAATGCCTAGGCCCAGAGCCAGGAAAGCGGCGAAGGTGAAGGGATGCTTCATGTTTTCGGATGGGATGGATGAATAGACTAGGTATTAAAGAGTCCCAGGTGCTTCTGAGGTGAGGTTTTGTCAACCAACATCATAGGAAAGCAGCTCACTGTTCAACTACACCTGCATCTTCCAACAAACGCAGCCAAGCAGCCAAGAGCTCCTGTGCAAAGGAAGGAGTCAACTTCCACGAATCAACATCTGTATCTCTTGTGAGACAGTGGAAAGTACGCAAGACCAAGGAATCAATGATCATGCTAGCCTCTTACGCTGAAACCTCGCCATCGTAATCGTTTCATGAAGTTTTTTTGTCATCCGTGAGCACTAAGGAATGCGATAAATGGTCTGCAAATAGAATAAACAAGCTTTTGCTGCACCGGTACCATGCAAGGGAAATTCGAACCTTACAGATTTGTGCGTGTTTGATATTCCCGGATACAAGTGCCGGAAAATCCGGGGGCGCGAATTGGGGGGGGGGGGGGGGGGGGGGGGGGGGTTGACTCTTTCATGGAGAGCATGGTGCTGTACAGTCTGGGAGGATTCCTGATGATAAGATACATGACGATACTTCCATGAGAGATGTGATAGGGAGATGAAGGGTTGAATCTTGGAGGAAATTTCTCAACGGAATCACAGGCCAATCGGAAGTAATATCACCAAGGGCGATGCTTCCGGTTAATGTATGGACAGAGCGCTACAGAGAAATACTCAGCTACGAGCAATACATATCCGGTAAAAAGCCATCGACCTGAGGCTCCTCACATTTTGACACGAGTAGACCTGGCATGGTCACCGGTCTACCAATATACTTGACATGGTGGCTACACCCGTCCAAAGCTGATGTTTCGTCGTTCAGTATTCTACCTAGATCGTCTTGTAGCTAATGAGAGGAGACTCTGTCTTCACATGCCGGGTAAATTAAAGCTCTGTGATGAAACTTGTGAGTGTGGAATGGGGCCATTGGGCACCGCTAAGAAATACCGCAATTTTCTTGCTCGAGCGGGGACACTAACAGTCAAAATAATAAGAGAACGACTGCTATAACTTTAGCCGTATGATCAAGCCTCGCAGTCTAGTATTTCGCTATTCAAGACGATGGGTGTACATGGGTGGGTTTGCTCATTGGTGACGCAGAGCAGTTGGTGAAGTTGACTTAGCAGGCGTAGAGGGTCGGTCAAGCTTGATCAAGCTTATCGGTCCTATATTCGCAATCAACGCACTAGTAGTTCTTGATCGGATTATTCAATACCAAGATAGCCCTCTTAAGGTCTTGCTCTGTACAAGGCATCTCTCTTCGAAGATCCTGGGAGACGACTAGCTTTCGTTTCTTCTTGTCATGACAGTCCCATTCCAATGTACGCCACTGAACCTTGTGCAGGTTGAAGTGCGGTACCGCTGACACATCCAGACGGCTCTCAAATAGGATAAGTGAGTCGACGACTTCAGAAAAGGACCTAGAAGGCGTTAATCAGAGACTTGAAGCTGAATTAAGGTAAACAGCAGACCTTTCGATAGTATTTTGTAAACATGAATGTAAAAACCCTGTCGAAATGAAGGGCGCATCGTGGGCTATGATGTACATAAAGAGAAGCAATTTGTACTTCGCCGTAAGCTTGCCCGACTTCTTCAAAAGCGGAGTTTCACCACTCGATAACTGTTCAACGAGTTCGTCAAACTGATCTACGTCCATGCGGATGACATGCTGATAATTAATCGGCAGTCTTTGATCGATAGATTGGGCCCTAAGAGTTTCAATCGCTTCATTGAGTTCTTTCGGGGTGCGACTGATTTGAAAGCCGGTGCGACGGAATTCCTGTTGGTCTTTGTGACTTAGGATATCCTCGAAGTATGCGCGATGCGGGTCTTCTTCTTCTGGAATTGCTGGCATAATGCCGATAGAAGTCGAGCGGGTGGGATCCAATGACTGCGAAGACGCTCGTGCGGATGGCGGGTGCGATTCGGGGCGGATTGGTAGACTTGGCTCAGGACGAAGAGCTTTGGGTTCTGATTGAGCCTGCGCAGGGTTCACAGGCGTTACCTGGATAGCGGGCTGTTGGCACCTGACGGCCGCATGCGTAGCGCTTTCCAACGTGATCTCTGATTGATCGCTTTGCTGTAGGGTAGGAGTGTAGTTTCCGAAATTCAGCGCCGCCGTTGCTATGAGACGTTCTACAGGTCCGGTGGTCATTTTCTCCTCTTCGTAGCCCTCGTGCTTTCACTCTGGACCTCCTGATGTCTTCTTGTTTGTTCATTCTGCAAAGCTCCACACAGCTGTGGATTCCCAGACGCCTCGACTGGAGGAAGGATCGATGAGGCTAGGGAATAGCGCATGATCGAATACCACGAATAATATATGCTTGTTCTTTGGTACTTGTTTGAACTACTGGGGCGATCGCGTTGGAAAAGGTTGTGGAGACGTTGGTGATGAAGTCTTTGCTGGACTGGAGTTGAGCATGTTCGTCACGTCCGGCGGCTTCGCCATAGGCGCGCCATAATGCGATGTGCGTGACGTAACAAGCGGAGTCTTCTTGGTAATGAGCGCGCAACCTATAAAATAATAAATAAACGCCCGGTTGCATAGTCAAGGTCCCAAAAATACTTACCTACGAGTTGACCCTAGTCTGTGACAACCCAATTGAACTCTCCAGAGCATTTACTCTGGCTAGAGTCTGCTCTAGGGTGCGCTTGAGGTCGCGAATTTCTGCAATCACACCTGGTTGCGCCATTGTTCCCTGGGCCGAATTGCGATGGGCTAGAGCGCTTTCACGCAGATGGTGTGATGGTGATTGTTTCCAGGGAACCCAAAAGTTGAGTGGGAGGAGTGGGTTCAAGATGAACTCAATTTGCTGCCGTATGTAGGGAGTTACATCAGGACTTCGGACGGAAGAGGTTTTGATACACGCGCGATCGAGCTAGCCCTAAAACGCGCCATGACATGATCATTGTTAGATTATCCCCGTCTTCAGACGCAGCATCTTGCATCCATCGCCCATTATCAAGAGCATTCCCATTCCCGAACGAGCATCAAAACACCTACGTGAGTTGGCGATACCCCATTAAAAAATGGCAGAAGCGCATAGAACGGATTGGGTTTCGATGGCGGGAAAGAAGGGAGTATCATGCTGGCAACCAGTCGAGTTCGAAAGAAAGAGGTATTGGGAGAACGAACTGTCCAGTGATCATGACTAGCCTATCAAGCTTCAGGCTCAATCTTTAGCACTTGCATTTCCCTAAATTCTTGTGGCTGTAGATGCAGACTTGTCCAGCCTGGCAGAGATGCTGTCTTCCTAGAAATCTCAACAGTGAGGCACCACGCATTTCATTGGCTGCAGTTATTTGTTCGTGTGAAGCACATTTATGAAACGGGTACGCGCGCCAGGCGCATCTTCTACATGCGTCTACTCACCGCTTCATCTCTCCTTTGCTTCACCTTCGCCAAACACTTCACGACTCCTACATATGTCCGCCATCACCCCAACATTGATGGCATCCTGAAACACGCCATCCCTAGAACGACTATTCAGTACGGGGTTGCGTCAACATGCAAGCTGCATATATCAACCTCGTGTCTTTCTTCTACCCTATTGGGAATACACCCGCAGCCTGCTTAACTCAGGGTCCTTCCACCAGAGCACGACGCAAATGCTCTGATGCTTGGCTGCGGGGACGCACGAAATGTCTTATTTACTGCCTACATGAATCAAGACAATGGTAAGCTATATGACGATTCATTCGAGCTATTATCTGACGACAATCAGGCCATCGTGCTCTCGACTTTACCTGCTGTGACATCGAGGCAGCGATCATCGGTACGTATTCATGAAATGGCTATCTTAGCGTATCTAACGTCTCTGATTTAGCGCGAAACATCCTGCTATTCAGTATGATCTCGGAAGATAGCGCCTTGATACAGAATGAAATTCTGTGGAACATCTACTACCACTTCTATCTTGACGGAAAGTCACTTGCTTCACTAGCGTCTCACTCGGAAAAGCTACTGGCAGCTGCAAAGACGTTCAACGACTGGCATAATAGCGAACATGGTCGGACTCTCAAATTTTGTGACACGAACACCTTTGGCAGCGTCAAAGCGATATGGAGCAAATGGGCCGATGGGGATTAGGATAATGAAAAGAAGGCAGACCAGAAGAAGCGGTTCAAAGAAGGATTAAGCCGCGCTGCAGACTTGTACGGCGCAGTCAAGGGCAAAGGACTCAATACCACAGCAGTGCGCTCCGCAGGACCACTAAACATCCAAGCTCTCGGAGAAGTTCCTCAACTTCATACAGACTTCTGGAAATTTGGCATCACGACGAAAGACAACAAGGCTATTACGGCATCGACCCATCCAAACCCGACGTTTTCCTCGACGGCTTTCAATAAAGCTACCATTCATTATGGGACAGACCCCATCATTGGTTTCCATCTTGCGACGGCATTCGCGCCTTTGACCAACATGTCTCCTATCCGCCCATCAACTGACGGAATGCCCAGAACCCATAAAGCAGTCCGGAGCGCAAAGACGGAATTCTACTCGTGGATCCAGGCATTCAGAATCGGTATCAAAAAGAAAATTTCCCTTCGCTTCTTCGCTGGCGATGCGATGGCATTCTGCCATACTCTGTACCGAGATGACAATAACAAAGGCCCGGCAACGAACAACTGGTATCAAGACATGTGGCATGCTAAACCAGTCATCTTGGACCCAGCTTCCTACAGCACGCAAGGAGCTGTCCCAGTCGCCTTCGATATTATTGATACCTCAAACCTTATCGATCATGTCGACGCTGTCAATCTCTTCGTGTCCACAGTTCCGCTTCTCTCCAAATCGCCTTACTCGACCCTCTATGTGGAGACACTACTTCGGCATCAAGAGACCATAGAGGAGACCGTCAATGCGCTACTATGTGGTAACTTCCAGACAATGGCTATTCTGTTCGGCGTACTACCCGTAGAATACTGGACCAATGTCTTGGAGCTCGTAACAGCGAGTGATCACATTCTCGATTCAGTCAGCTCCAACGCAAAGACGCAGAGTGGATCTGCCGGCCAACTACGTTCGAAGATGAGCTTGAAACGTCGCCTATCGTCCAACTTCACGGGAGCTGGGCATGATCACAGAATTCATGTCGATTCTCTGGAGCTATCGCGACTACTCTTCACCATATACCTGGCTATGTTCTACAATGAGAATCACGCCGCCAGGATGGAAAGTTTGACCACTCAAGCGTCCGTGAGTCATATGCTCCAGACCAGCTCTTTTATTCCCCATAACCGCGCGAGTTTTGCTTTGCTTCTTCGCTTCCTTCACGAGAAGGTCGAGACTGACTGGCGCGGCATGATGAGCAGTCTGATCGAGAGAATATCAGAAGACGGGACACTGATGATTGGGAAGAACTATTTCTAGGAGCTTCTTGTCTACTTATACGTCTTCGGAGTTTATCATGATGCGAAATACTTGTTGGACCCTAGAACGCGTCAGACGGCGCTGCTACCGACTGGTCTAAGCCTGTGGAAGGATCTTCCTCCGGTCGTAAGCATCACATTGAAAGTGCCCCGCTCGAAGCTTGGAACCTTTTTGGGCCTTTCCCAGCAGGAACTAAGCACTCCACCTGTTCAATGCACGTTGGATTCCCATATCTGGAGTAACAGCTTCTCAACTTTGAATATGTCTTTCGGCACAATCAGCTCCTCTGAAAGGAGAGACGATGATGACTTCCGCCTCCACATTACCGAAGACGATCAAGGATGGTCCGGGAAAGCGCCACTGCTTGTGTCTTTCTTGGCGCCAACTTAGTTCATCATGAGAGATCCGCACAATACCCGAGTATCATTTGGGGTTGTTAGCACTCCGATAACCTCATTGACCTTCGTCCGCGTCTTAGGATTTGAAATGAACTTGTATAAGACGGCCCTAGGGGACAATGATCATGTCTTCATAACGAAGCATGCGCCAAACCTGTCTGGCCTTCCTGCTCTACCCAAACTAGGTCAGTATGGAGCTTCGGCTTCTCCTATAGTCACCACAGCTCATGCGGACTTCGAAACAGCTGAGCCAGTTCCAGATAACTCTGAAAACCCGAAAGTAGTATTTACTGCCAGAATGGGTGCGGCCAGCTTGAATGATATCAAGTCAAAGGTCATAATCAAAGAGCTCACGGCCCATATCGATATCATCTCTGCCGACCACAGGAGTCTACTTACTGGAGGTGCTCTCGTCTAGATTCATCAGCAGTCTTCTTTCAACATCACCTTGACTATCGGAGAAAACCCCCGGGGCTACCTAGTCCAGTTTCCTATCCCGGTGCTGGAATCTCGCTGCCGCGTACGTATTGCACGCAAGTCCTCATATGTTGAAATAGTTGGGATCGTTCTAGCACCTCTGGAATTTGCTCAGCGTCCAGATATGGTATACCTCATGTTCCCAAAGGATTTTCAGGATGCCCTTTGAAACATCCCGTATACTTCTCTAGACTTGCTACCGGTCCTCGACGTTGCCAAAAAGGCGGAAATGCAGTGGCTCGTCACTCATACCTCTGTGATGTTCTCGGCTAAGGAAGCGCGGATTCAACGAAAAAATTTGGCACCTGGTGTTTCTATAGATGATTTGAGGATGAACTTCAAAGATTCTCTGTTCATCATGTTCATGAGCTTCTCGGGTCTCCAGGGAGATCGTTCGCGCGTTTTTGTTATCAATCAGCCTGAAGGTAGCGGCATGCATGCCATCTTCTTCATGCAATCACTACGACTAGATATTGCAAACGCGACGGTAATGCTCGCAGAGAGCATACGGACTATCAATGTCAATGCCGTTGAGCTACAACTATGGAAGCACGCAATTCCGGCGTTCGTAGAACGTTGCAGAGACTGGAAGCATCTTCCAACGTGCGAGTACAAGACTGAGCAGCGAATCCCGTTGTCCTACGCCCGTGGCAAACAAGTCATCTGCTCGTGCGGAAATGGCAAACTTCCATCAGACTTCATTGAAGGTGTACCAAAGTGGGATCTGGTAAAGAACTACGCCGTACGGGTTGCAGTCTCTCCCGTCTTTCCAGTCCCATACGTCGAGGCGTTGGCCGGCAAGGAAAGCAGATTCCTTGAGCCCCCTAAGCCAAATGTTGAAGCGTGTGCCGTCTGCGTTAAAACAGCAGATGAAATTGGCAAAGCACTGATGAGGTGTGCAAACTGCCAGAGCGGTAAGTATTGCTCAAAGCCTTGTCAAAGGCAGATTGGAAGCAGCATAAGAAGACATGCAAACTGAAGACCTAGATGACTCGGTCTCGGAGCATCTTGTATGTCTTTTCTGAGCCTGTTGCGATCTGAGGAATACCAGAACCGCTTTGTACGATGCTTTGAGAATGATGGTGAGCTTCGGTGTTTAAGGCAATTGGTGAGATATTATGATGGTGTATTGTAACTGTGATGGCTTGTCTGAATATGACTGGTAAAATCAAGCCTTTGATCTCCCCAATCATGCTTCATTTCCAATCATTCCTTTCAACCAGCCGCTGAACTTCCTCTTTTGCTTTTCTCTCTCCAGCTGCGCTTTCCTTTGCGCGTCCTGCTCTATCTGCCGAGTTACGAAATTGCGATCTCTTTGGTCCATCTGTGCTTGGGTCATTGGTGGTTTACCACCCTGAGGATCTTCATCCGCTTCAGGCGTGTCCTCCGCGCCAGCCGCTCTCAAAGTGACACCTGCCATCTTACTAAACCTCTCGACCTTGTTCAGCAACCACTCCCGATGCGCCAGTCCCCTTTCCCACGTTGGCGGCAACCTTGAGAACCCAAGCCAACACCCCAGAAGTGCCCCAGCCGCGGCCGCATTCGTGTCCGCGTCACCAGCATACATGATCAGATCCGTGATCAAGTTCTCAAAGACCTCCGCTGATACCACTGACCCTTTCGCAGACTCCCTCATTCCAAAGCGTAGCGTCAAGACCGCAGAACCAAGACATTTGTACACATAACCCATCGCGGCGCGCGAATCTAGATCCAGTTCCTCGAACGTCTTGGCATAGACATGTTTCTCGAACTCCGTCCGCTCGAGATGGCGCTCAATCTCCTCGGGCGTTAGAGCCCCCTTCTCGTCGCCTGGATTCATGAGTTCAGGCTGACTCTTCACCCACGCGTACGACCGCTCGATACACGCATCCACATCCTCCTCCTTCCGCACCTCTCCGCGCAGCATTGCCCTGATCAGGCCCACTGAAATACAGCAAGAGACAACGCATCTCGGATCCGCGTGCGTCGTGCGCCCAACCTCCGTCGCCGCGCGCCACGTCGCCTCTTCCGTGAGGCCCACGCCAATAACACTGATCGGGTGGGTCCGCATTAGGCTACCGTTAGGGGCATTGGAGCGTTTTGACTTGATCCATGCCGCAATTGCCATTTTGGTCGGCGTGGTGAGGAATTCTTTCCTTCCAACTACAGATCCCACGAGCGCGCCTAAGCCCATGGGGAGTCTGTCGAGGGCGCGCAGGCCTTGCTAGACCCAGATCCGGAGACGGGCGGCGAAGTCGATGGCGGAGACGGTGCCGCGGTTGTGGAGGTAGGAGAAGATGATTAGGAGGGCTTGGTCGGTATCGTCGGTCCAGCCGCACTGGGGGTGGTCAATACCTCGCTTGTCACGTATTTGGTGTATGGGGTTGCCGATGTAAGGGGCACAGACACTAGTGTGTTGGGAGACGAGAAGCATGGGGCGTCAGCTTACTGGTTCAAATCTATCTGCGTGAGAGTAAGTAAGGTTATGAGTTTTGTTTTTGTATGGCCCGACGGTCGTTAATAGGTGACTCGCTGACCGAGAGTATAGTGTTAATGGGTTGAACAGAATTAGGAAAACTTATGACACCAGAATCAAGAAACCGCAAAAGAGAACCTCAAAACCTACTGCGATGACTGTCTGCATACATAGGGGTCGTCGGTGCCACGAGCTGGAACTTCCTCGTGGAATAAATTGTCTTGGAAGCATCCTGGGTAAGGAATTCTGTGTACAGCCCGATGGCATCGCCCAGCGCTGACCCGATTATTGTACCGAAGACCTTATCCTGCACCGAGTCCCTCACGAATGGGTGCAAAGATAGGAAATCCAACCCTTCCGAAGGTGCTGGCTCTTTCACTGGTGATGGTCCTCGGGGTTCTTCAATCTCGACACCGGGTCTTTCAATATGAACAAAATCAGCCATGTTCTGGTAGAAATTATGGAAAAGTGTATTGAGAGATGCGACGAAGGATCACTTCTTGGTAAGTACTAAAGTAGTGCCTACTAGGCACCTTTTAAAGCTAGAGAACTCTAACCTCGTCGGCGCCGAATCAATATCTTGGCGCTCGTCCTGTGGTGGCGCAGTCGGTTCTTTTGGTGTTCTTGCTTCGCTGTCTTTCCGTACACTTGTCTTCTCCGTTGTCGCCGTCTTGGAAGGTTTTGGTGCCTGCTTCTTGGTCACCTTGTCTGTAGTGGTGGCCTTAGGTTCTTTCACTTTCCGTGTTTTGGGGGCTGGGGTGTCAGCCTTAACTGATCTTCCAGAGCGAAGGGTCACCATTGCAGAGATGTAAAAGTGAATAGCATATGTTCCATTGTGTTATTCTTCCCAGGGCCTTTAGTTTTCATTTTGTCGCAATATGCGCTCTTTGTTCTCCTAATTCGTGACGCAAATGGACATCGCGCCGGGCGGTCAAAGACCTAGGTCCGCTTGTGGGATTATGCAGGCATCTGTCACTTAAGCTGTTGCAACGTGTAAGTAAATGCGTATACGAAGTATAATGTAGGTGCCAATAGCAGTAATGCACCAAGCAATTAGGCATCAGCAATAGCACTGCGGCTAATATAACCCCTTCCTCACTCAATGTCTGTTAATTGAATAATAGTAGCCACTGAGCACTACGGCTTCTCAGTTGATTACAACAATAGCAGATAATGGGAAGCTACAGAGGTGTCGTTGCGGAGCTGTGTTGTCATGTGATCGCCAAAATTCGGGAGGGCGGAACGCGCTCGTACGCTTCTCTCTACAGTTCAGTGTTAACGCAATTGTCGGGATGAACTTTTAAAGATGTAGTCCTGTTATTAAGATTATACTACGAAGATCAATACTCGTTTCATATTGGCCTTTAGCCTGATCCACGCCAGCTTTTCACTTTTCTACGCAACAGCCCACCTCTCCGACGGCTCAACCACCAAATCGACCAATTTGCAATCAACGTTTCTGCTCGAGTAGATCTGGCCCATTGTCCAATTAGAATTCTGCCAAGTCGTGTCGGTGCATTCTAGCTCCTTTGTCGCGTTTCCGTACGCTCCGTAGGTTGTGCTGCGTCCCCTGTGGTCAGCACAAGTGTTGCAAAACTACCCAAATAGATAAAAGCTGAAGATGGATGGTACTCACGGATATTTCGGGTCGGGGCAGATCCAGGTTTGGTTCAAATCCACCCTCCCAGTCGGTCTGTCGTAACGGAAGTACGCTGGCGGTATGCCCTCTTGGGTGTCGCACGTGTACCACATGTTGCCGTAGAAGAAGTCTGACAGCTGGTCGCTATCGCCGCTGCAAGCAACTGTGTAATCCACGGCAGTATTTGTTAGATTGAAGTTTACGTAACCCCAAGAGTTCTGGTGTGCGGGCGTTGTGAAGATGTACGATGCGTGATAGTCGAGGCCGTGAACCGTCCATTCCGGATTTTTCGCACGGTCATTGCAGCAGTCTTCGTCTTCGCGTTTGGTAGGGGCAGCGACAGCGAGAGCTAGGACGGCTGCGAGGGTAATGAAATGCTTCATATTGGTGACAAGAGCTTGTGGGGTGAATAGGTAAACGAGTGAATGGTAGAGAAGTGCTTGAGTGTAGCTGATTGAACGCTGGGAGAGATTTGCAGTATTTGTATGCGACTTAATATCTGTGTGGCTACCGTACCAGGTTACTGTGGAAGTAACAAGTATTTATAAAGTAAAGGACCGAATGTGCTCTTCCGCTCCTAGACACGGCCATGACTGGTACGCCCATTAGATGGTACCTGAAGAAGGCACACCGGTCTCCTGAGCCGCTATTTCTCGTAAAGAGAGACCAATGCGGCAGTCCTCTTAGCATTTTTGCCACGCTGGTCGGGTACTCGGCTTGGATATCCAATTTCGTATGCACGAATGATGTTTGTGCACCCGTCGGCTAAGCACGACCTGCCCTCACCTCTTCGACAAGGAGGCGAGCGTCGATAGGCTATCCCTAGTTGTGGCAGGTCAGCTGGGTGAAGCATGATCTACGCCGGGGGATCTGCGACGCCGTTGCTGCCAGATTATTGGTCCGTCGGTTCCAAATTTAGGTCAGTACCTGGGAGGCCTGTCGAGCTGGTGATATATGTACAACGAGCATCTCGTATGTTGACTTTTTTTGCTACGCACTTCGCAGATCAACGATCCTTGGCCTCTGTCATTCCACTCCACTGTAACGTATGATGCCGTTGAGAGCTTTGCTGCAACGCCTCTTATGCGGTGAGAATTCTCCGGCGCTGTGATACAAGTCTGACATAACCCCAAGGGAGGCGGAGGACGTGATCTGTCGCCTCCTCAACGAGTGCTAGCTGCAGCGGCGCCTCCCGGAGTGAGGCTCTGGCCCTGCATCTACAGCAATATCGAGCCCGCTTAGATGCCTGGGTGGAGGACAGAGCAGTGGCTGCCCATTCCTGCTGCAGCAATCTCATCCTCAGCAGCCCCCACTTCGCTCCTCCGTATCCTTTTAGCCTTTATTTCTGTTGCTGGCACCGGGCTTTTCCATTTTCGACCGCGTTTCCCTGGAACCACCGCTTCCTTCGCAACACGCTTCGCTCGCGCCTCTGCGAGCTCCTCATAGCTCATCACCTTCGCCTTTCCTAACACTGTGGACTTAGCCGACCGGCGACGTTTGGCTTCGTCATTCTGTTTGAGCAATAACTGGTTGTCATCTTCGAGCAGGGCACGTTCCGCAAAGGACATTTGGGCGGCGTTGAGGGGCTTCTCTAAGCGCAGTTTGCTTTCGTCATCAAGTGCGTGTGTATCCCGTTCGACCAGGCCACGCAGCGTATTTAGAGCATCTGCTATCACTAGGGTTCGCAGGACTTCATCCTGTGAACAAGACAAAGCCTTAACATCATCAACTTTCGGAACGGCTAGTTCGACGGATGGCTTCTGAATACCTCTGAGCACCCTATCTGGGTTGAACGGATACAGGCCGCTTCCACCCCAACCGGCCCTTATGTTGTGAGGAGTCAACGCCTTCTCCTGTGCAGCGCTGTAGAGTGCTGCGAAATGCTCCTTGCCAACCGTGTTTGCGCCTCCTTGATACAACCGCTCGACTTGGTTGCGATAGGCTGCCTTTAAGGGTCTAAACACTCCTACATTATAGGGTTGGAGCTTGTGGGAAGTATGAGATGGGATACGGCACAGAATGATATTTTTATCAAGGCAGAACTATAAGACTTCGAGCGTCTCGTGCGTCCCGAAACCGTCACAAATCAGAACGCGTGGTTTCTGACCCGCCTGCTCCTTGGTTTGGGTGTCGAACACGCGTATACGTTATTCTAAGCTAGTCTTAAGGTCTGTGTATCCAGATTCGGAGCATGCATAATGCCACCCAGGAGTGGGGTACGTAGTCCAGTTGCTCCGATAGTTTAAGGCTAGCCAGATTATAAGTCTCGATGGCAGTAATCATTGTCCGGTTAACACCCGCGCCTCTGTAATTTCGCAGGTCGTTCTTACCTACAAGGACTTTGACAGAGCCCAGCATGCAGAGCATGACCCCAGTCTCATCCATATTATAAACATTCTCGCGGAGAACATCTGGATCCTGTAATACCTTTCCAATCACCTCAAACCAGTGCGTGATCTTACCATATATGCTGATGTCGTGCCGATTCTAGTCTACTGCCTTGACCTTCCTTGACTTGAGCTCTGGATGGCGTTTCTCGAAGGCCTTCGGCCAGTTCTTACCCGGAGGCTTGATCGCTACGTCCGCTGTAGAGCGTCGTCGTCGGATGCTGAACGCAAGCGACCGGAGATATTTCAAGGGAATAGGGTATCCCAGATCGGCCGATGGTTTCAAATACTGAGAGAGGGCTTTCTCTTCCGCTGGAGTGAGATACTGTTGGCTTCTCGCCTTCTCTTCTTTGGAGCGTCGTCCGCGTGACCGGTGATAGACGGTAGAGTGAGGGACTTGTCCCCATTTCGATAGAGTGGCATATGTTGCTGGCACGCCCTCAGGAAGACCGTCCGCTGGTACCTGAATGGCACGATCCGTGCAGACTTACCGTGGTGGCGATCGGAAGGGGAACGAGTGAGGCATGAAGTGACGGCCTGGCAGGGCGCGCTCTCTGAGGTGGAACCGAGCTAGACCCTGAAGAAGGGTCCCTTTTTGGGCCTGTCTATTTTAGCAGTCTCCAAGCCTTGAAGTCTTGAGGCCATGCTGAGCGACAACCGAGCGAAAGCTCTTGCAAGTCGAGTGGATTCGACATTGAGAACAAATCTCGAGAAGGTTTTGCAGCTCAGCACTGGACGTTCGCATCGGCAAGACACACGCGCAGTGACGCGGCGTTAGGGCACTTTGTGGCTCAGGAACAAGCGAATCATACCTAGGTATTGCGTTCCTGCTAAGTTATGTCGCTTCTGTGGTGTTTAAGGCACGTATCTAGCCCCATTGACATGCGCCACAATGTAGGGCAACCCCTCCAAACAGTGTTAAGCCACTGCTCACGTGCGTCGCTTCTATGCCGTAGCGGGCGAACCAAGAACATTAAGCTGGCGTTAGGTTCAATGCCGTTATCCCATCATTTAAAGCTACAATGCCACCCCCCTGCTATTTGAATGGGATTGGGAAAACATCGAAACTCGGAGGTGTGACGGCGAAAGTCAATACTAAAAGAGCACCGCAGGAGGTATCGTCAGACAGCTAGCCTTATAAGCTCTCGTGCTATATCTGGCTAGTTACAATCTTGTCATTTAAGCCACGGAACTTTATGGCTTGATCTACCATGTATTTTCTTTGCATTTCCGGTGTACATGGACCAGCGGCAAAGTGTGACTTGGGGTCTCGAAATTACTTTTGGACGAGAATTTCTCCATGCAGCATGGCCAAGCTTGCATCATCTCTCTTCGCCCACTCCTCCCAAGCCTTGGCCATTTCTTCAAGATCATTCTCAGTACCTAGGCCGAACTTTAGGGCTTTCTCTCGCAAAGAACCCCCTCTGAGCTGATCACACAACCCCTGGGCTAGAGAAAACACAGCCATTAGAGCCATAATCGCAGCCACGAGAAGCAGAGTGGAATAATGAAACTTACAGCAGATTTTCTTATCGCTCGGTGTATGGTATGACGATGTACTATAGCTGAGCGTAATCTGGCTCCGCTCGACACCAACCTTGAGTGCCCAAGAAAGCAGCTGTCGGCCTGCAGTTGGAGTGCCACCGCCGGCACTCATAAGACCTGCCATGAGCTTATGGAACTTGCACAGCTCGGGAAGTTCGGGCCAGACGCATTCCGACTCGTAGTCGCCCTCGCGGGCCGCGACGATGCCGCCTCGCTTTGTTACTCGGAGCATTTCACGCAGCGCATCCCACGGGGTGCCAATGTGGATCAGCACCTGATGACAAAAGGTGACGTCGAATGTCTCGTCGGCAAAGGGGAGCTTGTAGACATTGCCCTGCTGAAACTCGATGTTTTTGACGCCGGCCATTTCAGCGACAGCTCGTGCCCGTGGCAAGATGTTGGGGTTGAGGTCGACGCCGGTAACGTGGCCGTTGGGGATGAGCTTGGCGAAACTCACAGAGATGGTGCCTGAGCCAGCGCCGACGTCTAAGAGCGTCAAATGATAGTTGGATTCTTTCATAGACTGCAACTTGGGCAGCAAATGGGCAGCGCTGTTTTCGGCAGTCCGCACCTCGTGGAGGATCGCTTGAGCGGGCGGATGGCCTTGCTTCTCGCTGGGAGTTTGGTCTTGCTCCATTACTATTGCTGGTGGGCGGAATCAAAGAAGGATTGACATCTAAGTAGACTCAGGAAATTTCTCTTAACTTGGAGTTGCAACTGCTGGAATATGAAGCCTCAGAGCCCTGTATTCGACAGGTAGTTGGCGAAAGATAGACAAGGGGAAAGTGGATCCCTCAAGATTTAATCACGTGACGATTTTGTGTCCTTCTAATTCCCTTCCTTATGTTGTCCTTCCAGTATCATAGATGTGATGCTATGAAACCTCATAGGATGTTCTTCATATAGATTATTGAGCTGAATTATGGTTCAGTGGTACCCAACGTCAAACCACGTGCCGATAGAACTCTTTCGTGAGGCTACCAAGCACACCACAACCCACACTGCTCTTCTCATCGAACATTTCGGATGCTTCCTCTTTCAAATACTCCCATATAAAAAGTTAATAGAGCACATTCAGCTCCACCATAAAACAGCCTCTAGTACGCTAATCGATACCTCTAAGTGACGATCAGAGCCCAGGCGCGCGGCTATTGCATTCCAGACCAACGCCAGCTCTCGCATGCTCAACGCCTACTGATTGAGGTGAGCTGAAATTGTAGTCGCGTTTATATAGTGCTCCGGCTGCCCCAAATATCCATCTCTCCTCCAAATTTGTCAAAGATCAAAATTATCATTTCTTTATCGTCGTCTTCGCAATGCGCTTCACAACCCTCATCCCCCTCCTCTCCCTCACCCCAGCCGTCTACAGCTGGGGCGAGCTCGGCCACCGCACCGTCGCCTACCTCGCATCGAAACATTTCACCAGAGATGCCTCAGAACTCGTCAACACCCTCCTGGCGAACGACCAAGGCTGGGACATCTCAGACGGCGCTATCTGGGCCGACGCCATCAGACACCGAAATGGGTACACCCATACCGGCGAATGGCATTATATAGGTAGTCTAACTTCCCACCGATACGTACCAAACGTGCAACTGATAATCGCATCCCCAGACGCCCTCGACGATCCCCCAAACTACTGCAACGTGACCTACACCCGCGACTGCAAATCCGGCCCAGGGTGCATCGTCGACGCCATCGCCAACTTCGTGCGTCCAACCTCCCCCTTCCCCTTATTACCAATCCCCAAAAAACCACCAATCTAACCCACTAACCCTCAGACGTCTCGAATCAACAACCCACATCTCGACTTAGTGCAGCAAAAAGAAGCGCTCATGTTCATCATCCACTTCATCGGCGACATCCACCAGCCGCTGCACACGGAGCACCTCTCGCGCGGCGGCAACGGCATCAAGGTGTGTTTCGACGCGCATTGCGGCGAGAGGGAGAACTTGCATGGCGTGTGGGATAGGGCTATCCCGCATAAGCGGCGTGCACTTAGTGCTGCGGAAAGCGATAAGGTGATACTGAAAGCGGCGGCGGCGGCATGGGCGGAGGAGTTGTATTTGCGGGAGGAGAAACGGGCTGCCCAGTGTGATGACGTCGAGACGGCGCAGATGTGCGCGTTGGAGTGGGCGAGTGAAGCGAATGCGTGGGTCTGTGGGTTCGTGTTGGAGAAGGGGCAGGCGTGGCTTGAGGGGAACGATTTAGGTGGTGAGTATTTTGAGGGTGCGGGCCCCATTGTAGATGAGTTGGTTGGGAAAGCGGGATTGAGACTCGGGAATTGGCTGAATGCTTTGGCGGCAGAGAGGGCCGCTGCAGAGACTATGTTGGTGCAGGACGGAGAGAGGAGTGAGGTTTGATGAGCTACAAGACATGAATTGATGTATGCCATAATTGTCGATGCTATTTGGTATCTATTGCGCTAGTGGTATAATGATGTGCAAAGACGAGATGACTGTTACCCGATCAATCCCTCCTGCGGCTGATGAGGCTTCTTTGTCCGCATCAATCTTAGCGACTGTCGAGTAGAGCGGAGTACCTTTCATATTGATATAGATAACTCGACTTTGCAAGTCATCGAATGGGCTTGCTTCTGACTACCATTGCTTCCTTGCAATTAGCCTAGATCGAAGGTGGGTGTTTTGACTGGATTCTGCGTATTTGTTGAGAGCACCTCACACAGCCTCGATGTTCTTCAATGCCACAGTCTGCGACGAGTGCGTGCGGTATGACAGACATGCGGTTGCTGTTAGGTATCGATCGCGGCCGATCTCATGGGGCGGGCATATTTGCGCCATCCTCTTCAGGACGAAGCCGGATTGTGGTGGTGGCGTGCGTCTGGCTGTTCAGGTAACAGGCGGCGGACTAACCACGTCTCGCTGGTATGCTGCCGCAAAATCCAGCTGATTGAGTTGATTGTTGATCTGATCAATCTCCTTACTCAAATCTTCTACGTTTGAGGCCAGACTTGCGACCTCGTCAAATTTTCGATGCTTATTTGCGTCCGCGATCATTTCAGAAACGAAAAACTTTTGCTCTTCGAGGACTATCAATCGCTCCCGGAGCTCCTTCTCCTCGGCTTCCATGGCGGAGACAGCACTACTGCTGCTCCGTATGCTGCCGGTATCGATGTCGTTATATTTGATGGCAGCAAGGGCGCCACCAGATGGTCTCCCATTAAGAGCAAGACTAGGCAAGCCCTTCCCATTAGGGTTGCCGTGTGGTGCGGCGTGTTTCAGGATCTTTGGAAGAGTGCGGAGAGGGAGCATATGGAGCGACAAGAAGTTGTATGCCTGCTGATATACGGCCTTTTGTAAGCGCTGCTGGGTGCTAGATTCTGTAGGAAGATCTCGTATCCTACGTGCAGCAGTATCGAACTGGCCGAAGGCGTCCATGAGTCGTTTGCGGACCTTGGTGGCATCGTGGAGCTGAACAGCTGAAGGCGGCTTATCGGGATCCCTACAAAAGAATTATCAGAGGGGTTGAGAAAACGAGGTCCAAAATTGAGACTTACTGCAATGCTACTAGTAGCTTTTGGAACCTCGGCAACAGAAGCCGAATTCCTCTTTCAAACTGTGCTAAATTCTCGTAGGCTCGTTGATCTGGCGGCGTGCGTGCAAGCTCCCTGGCAAAGTCACTCTTGCTGAAAAGAGTGTGTTTGCAGTCTTTGCACATTCTGACATCCACACTAACTTGTGAAGCGCCCTTCTCTGAATTTCTGTTAGGATCTATGAGTAGTTAGTATACATCTCCACCAAACGGAGACAGAGTTACTCACTAGCAGCTACGTTCAACCCGAGTTCCGAAGAGCATCCAGTCCGAGCATCACCACAGACAACTCGACCACATAGTCGACAATGATGCCTTCTAAATGTGTAACTGGAAAATTCTTGTTGGCAAAAGGGGCAATTCGATACTTTCGCATCCTCTTCCCATGTGATGACAGTTTGTTCGAGGAGCTTTTGCTGGGCTTTCGCCCCAGATAAAGGCCACAGCAAGCTCCCACCTCCAGAGCTTTGGTCCGGGGGCGGATTTGCCAGTAACTGCGTAAGCTTCGTGAGCCGTTTTTCTAAGCGACTAACTTCCAGATACTCCTTGTCCACAGTTTTACGCCGTATGCTGGCAAAGTCTTCAAAATGGTTTCTTTCAAATCCTGAGACTTGTTAGCAAAGCCTCGCTTCTTTAATAGCCCAATTAGTCGTACCATTGTGGTCGTTGTACCCCTCTCGTGACTTATAGCAAGTCTCGCAAACCCTACACCAGAACCCTCCAACAGGCTGATGCTTCGCCGACCGTGACAACTTCATTTGGTACATAGTATGGTCCTCGCAGAATATCTTTCCACACTTTCTGCAGTTCACGCTTCCATTCCCTCCGCCGAGGGTGGAGCCACCCACGGGACGTCCACAAGTTGGGTCCGAACAGACATCCCTATATCCCGGCCGTTGCCAATGTGCTCTGGTAACTTCTTCGTCGGGGTCTCGTCTCGGTGGGAGCGGCTCGGGGGTCGTAACGCCGCTGGTGGGGTTGGGAAGTGGCGTAGGCTCATCGTTTGATTCGAACACGTCGAGGCCTTTCAGCTTCTGGTTGAGCACGGCGAGAGGCTGGAACTTCTTTGCCTTGACCATCTGAGTCTTGAACCATGTCTTGACCTCATCCTGTTCGATCTCCTCTAGGTTTTGGTGTACATCGTCTATGTGCCTATCGGAGGTTAGGGCTTCTGAGGGAGATATGGAGGCGCTCGCAATATGTACCTATTCAGCTGCAGTAGTGTCATCTGGGACTTCAGTTAGCCGAGTCATCGAGACATATACAACCCTGAAGCATTATCGTACCATCTCTTCGTTGCATATTGGGCATACAAGCCGCGAGCTCGCGGACGCCGCCGTCGAGGGTTCCGCATTCTCCAAGGCGACCTTTGAGGTGATATCCTGTGTGTCTGTAGTGGTAGCAGGGCTATTCGAGGTCTGCGAGCTTAACGACACGGAGCTCTCGGAGGGTGAAAGTAGGCTGGTATTCCGATTGTGGTGTGGACGTGGCTGCGGGGAGACGGCTGGCGACAGGTTTCTTCCGCTCCCAAGCACTCGTCCTCCGCCCAGGGACCTGCCCGAGGTCATGACTGCAAGTATCTGGCGGGTCTCGGGGCCGTCATGCCAGTGTGGTGGTTCACGATGCGGGCGCGGGAGTGCTTCAAGGTCGACGGCGAGCCGCGGACGGACATGGAGCTAAACTAAGATGCGGCAGGGCAAAGGGCTCCAGCAGCCTGGGATTTGGGAATCAGATCCTGGGAGTTGCACGAGGAAGATGCAGCCCTTTTTTTTTTTTACCGAACTAGTTCAATTATCTAGCAGCAATGCTTACATACTTGGGACCGTGGATGTAAGTTGTCCCTAGGTGCCGTTCCAGGGTTCACATTCACCACGTGCCGCTATGAGCTGTGGCTGAGAGCTTGGACCAGAGCTCGATAAGCGTCATTCGAACAAACATCTCAGTGGATGCCAGCCTTTCTTTCTTCTTCACAAACCTTCACCATGAAGGGCCCATACCCCGAGATCCAAGGCGGAGGCTCTCTGATACTTGCCTGGCAAGTGCGTAACAAACACGTACTCGTCATCGGCGGCGGAGAGGTGAGTTTGCCCACCATCGAAGTCTGAGAGGTATTGACAGTTGACACGAGGTCAGGTAGCAGCCGGGCGCATTGTCAACGTGCTGAATGCAGACGCCAAAGTCACCGTTGTATCACCCCAGGACGGCCTGAACGATGAAGTCGCCTTTCGAATAGCCCAAAAACAGGTCACATACATCGACCGGAAGTTCGAGCCCTCAGATCTGGACGGGGTGGATATGGTGCTCACTGCTGTGGACGACCCGGAGGCCTCGAGCCAAATATACAAGCTCTGTCACGAGAAGAGGATACCGGCGAACATTGCAGATGTACCTCCGGAATGCGACTTTTACTTTGGGAGCGTGCATCGCGATGGGCCATTACAGATCATGGTCAGCACCAATGGGAACGGACCTAAGCTGGCGAGTATTGTGAGGAAGCAGATTGCTGCTGGACTACCACCCAATGTCGGTGCTGCCATACAAAAAGTCGGTGCACTCCGTAGGAAGCTGCGAAAGATTGCACCAGATATTGAGGAGGGACCGAAGAGGATGCAGTGGTACGTGACTATGCCACTACTCTACCATTTTGACGCTAACTTTTGAAGGATGTCGAAAGTCTGCGAATCCTGGAGTCTGGAAGATCTTTGTGAGATGGATGACGAGGACATGGAGGCTTTGTTAGGATTCTACAAGCCTGGAAATGTCCCTAGTTTCCAGGAAGTACGGTTGGGTGAACCAGAGGGAGCTTTTGATGGCTCATTTGGATGGCTGTGAAAGTGGAAAACTCTCAAGGCGAATTGTAGGAACACTGTATAGCGAGTTACGAAGACATGTGCCATTTGTTGGAAATCATTGATAGGCGTTGGGAACAAGGATATAAAAGATTGCGTACCACCAATACATGTTATGGAGTCTTTAGTTGAGCAATTGCATATTTCTTGGGAAATATCAGAGACTGCGAATGAGCATATGAAGCTCGAAGAAGAGTCAATACCTGCCAGCTTGCATATCTCATCATTGCTGAATATCATGTCACCAATGAAAGCTAGGTCCGAGCTCAACCTTCCCCATGCCGCTGGCTGTGCACCTCCTGAACCATCCATCGAACACCAAGCTCATCAACACACCCATGCCCATCAATGTTGGAAGCAGAAAAGAACCGAATCGATGCCTCACATCAACTACTTCCTGAGGTTTCCATCCAAACTCCGTAGGAGGGCCAGACGTTCCCGGCTCGCGGCTATGTTCATTCTTCTAAGCACTATCTTCATCTTCTTTACGCCATTCTACTGCATTTACAAGCCTCCAACTTTCCTCATACGTTACTTTCAATACCGCTGGCCGGATATTCTCTGGCATGTTCCAACACGTTCCAAGATCATTGCGCTCTCTATCGATGATGCACCGTCAGAGTACACCAACGAAATCATGCAATTACTCAAGGACAACAATGCTACGGCAACTTTTTTCGTCATCGGTGCTCAAGTTCCTGGACGGGAAGGGATCTTGAGCAATTTGGTCCGAAATGGAAATGAGCTAGGGAACCACGCCATGCACGATGAGCCTTCCCGGTCTTTGAGCGATGAGACTCTCACCAGCCAGATCCAATCCGTGGAACACATGATCGACACAGCATACAAGGACGCCGATAGCGAGCTTTCAAATCCAAAGCTTTTTCGACCAGGATCTGGCTTCTTCAGCGATCGAATGCTCGCGATTCTGGATAAGCTTAATTACAGGCTCGTTCTTGGTAGTATCTACCCACACGATCCCCAGATTCCGTATTGGCGTGTCAATGCAAGGCACATTCTCAGCATGTTACGACCTGGTGGCATCATTATTTGCCATGATAGGAGGAGTTGGACTTTGCCAATGCTACGGAAAGCCATTCCTGAAATGAGGCGGAGAGGTTATCAGATCGTAACGGTCTCAGAATTGTTGAGGGAGGTCAAGACATGAGAGTCTTAATTATTCCCTTGGATTTATCAAAACAAGAGAAGGCTCATGGGCATTCCCGATCACTCTGTGGGAGGAGACAGCAACCACAAAGCCGCGTATTGGCTTCACAAACAAAATATGTCAAGGCTCGGAGGGCGACGAAAGGCTGAAGGCTATGAGCTTCTTTCAGATAGCCGACTAGAAGTAGGAACCTAAGCGTTTCAAGTCATACAGCTCTTCGTCAAGATAAGTCCGTGCACAATTATTGCGGCTATGGGACTTTTTCTGGGCTTTTTTAGACACGTGAGAGGTAATTACTGAGCTGCCATAGCTGGGTACATGAGTCCGCCGCCGTCTGAAGTATCTCTACATATTTTCACAAATTCGAAAGAGGCAGAATTACATCATCTTGCACAATCCAAAAACTCGTTGAGCCACCTTAGCCGGCATAATCTACCACTGCAAGATGTTTGTTGGCAAGACATCAGATGCAAATCAAGACCAATGCTTCATCTATCTTGTGAAGGAGCTTTGACTTGATCATTCTACCCACGCACTGGCTTATCGTAGACCTGTATACGCCTTCTTACCACTGTCACGGGTGCTTCAATACACCTTCAAAATTTCAGGCATCATCCTTTTGAACGACCAGTAAACTCGTTAGGCACCTCCACCGGTGGCGTTTGCAAACGTGTTTCACAAAGAATAAACTTGTCGTGGCCGTGATTGGCCGAGTCACTAGCGCCGATTTTCCAACCTTTCTTTTAAGCACGAGCCGTCTGGGTTTCTTCAACTCACCACAACAGCTCGGCATCATGGCGGCCTCCAGCCAAATACCATACTATCAGGGGGCCATTGATCTGAGACAATTGGTTTTAGGCCATAAAGAGCTGTCCAGCCTTGGTAGCAAATCAGGCTTCGTCAGTTTTCAGGATCCAATTGTCGTCAAGTAAGTCAGACTCTCGAAGTGGTTAGTACGACGCCATTGGCGCCCCGTTTGATCGAAGGTTTATGTGCTATATTCCGACTATCTTAAATTGATTTAAGTTTCCTACGCGAACCTGATTGGTTTTCCGCTAACTATCCGGAGGTATATCACCATAGCTCTGTTGAAGCGCGATTTTGGCCTCGATATCAGGCTTCCAGACGACCGGCTTTGCCCTCGTGTTCCTATCCGCTACAACTACGTTCGCTGGATCCAGGAGCTTATCGACACGACTTCTCCCAAATACACCGATACTTATGACCCAGCGCGCGTTGTTACGGGCCTAGACATTGGTACCGGAGCCTCTGCCATCTACACCATCCTTGCCCTCCAAACACGACCATCCTGGCACATGTGCGCCACCGATATTGACGAACAATCTCTATCTTTTGCCAAATACAACATACAGAACAATGATCTCGACTCCCGCGCTCTGGTAACTCATACCAAACCATCAGACCCTCTCATTTCGCTCCCTATCTTGGGCGTTGAAGGGCTCGAATTCACCATATGCAACCCACCCTTCTTCTCTACTGATCAGGAATTCGCCGATTCGCTAGCAGGCAAAGGCAAAGATAGCAAGCCCTACTCTTCAAGTACTGGCACGCCTGCCGAGATGGTGTATCCTGGTGGCGACCTGGCCTTCGTCTCTAGGATCTTTGAAGAAAGCTTGAAGTTGCGCGAAAAGGTGCAATGGTATAGCTCCATGTTTGGCAAGCTTACCAGCGCGAACGCTTTCGTCATGAAGTTAAGAGAGAACAATATATCCAACTACGCAGTATCCTATTTGTGGGCAGGCGGCGCGACGCGGAGGTGGGCGGTAGCCTGGAGCTTCGGCGATCTGAGGCCGAGACACGTATGAGCTTTCCTCTCAATTTGGACGTCACAGGACGAGAAGCTGATCTGACCATAGGACGTAGCCAGGCACTGGTCCACAGAGCGGATGCTAGACCCTTTTCCTACCGTATTTCACATACCTTTCACAGCAGCGAAGGCCCCCAAGGTAGCCCACGTAGTAGACACGTACCTGAGTTCTCTACAACTTCGCTGGTCCTTCGACCCCGCTTCCGGCACTGGTTTTGGAATTACATCACAAAACGTCTGGTCAAGGGCCTTCAGACGCCAACAGCAGAAGAAGACCGAGGCCGCGGAGACGGAAATGGCCGAAGAAGCTGGCGAAAAGGTGGCCTTGGCGTTCAAAATGTTCGTATTTGAGGAGAAAGAGATGCTAAGCGTGAGGTGGCTACAAGGTGCAGATCAGGTGATCTGGGAGAGCTTCACCGGCATGCTGAAAAGATTCGTGGACGGCATCAAAGATTGATCGTCGTGGCGGTAGGTCTGTGTACACTGTCCTAGCGCCGTCAGAGGTGCCTCAACAAGCTTTCAGAAAGTGGAATAATACCAAAAAAAATTATTTTGAACGACCTGTGTGTACACTACCCGACGCCGTCGGAGATCCTTCGACATGCTTTTAGAGTTGAAATGAGATCAAAAGTCCAGATTGAACAACCCAGAAACTCATCGAGCTACCTCATACGTCCTTAGATACTAATTCCGCTAGGTTACCAAAAGTAGCAAATGCTACCTAAGCTAGAGAATATTCGGTAACCGCTCCTTTTTCTTGATGGTTTACCCTTCTTAGCCTCGTTGTAAATATGTACACCTTTCTGCAGCCGTCTAAGGGGTCCCACCAGCTTTATTTAGACTGTTCAAAACGGTAATACTTGCTCTCCTGCTCCAAAAGTGTACAACGCTCTGCTGCCGCTTGAGGTGGGCACAGCAGCTTAAACGGTGGCATAGCTAATGGGAATATGCCTCTTCCAGGACGTTACACAGCATAACCGCTATAGTGCTTCCAAGCCCTCGATACTCACTTCATCTAGTTCCATATGAGCCGAATCCTTCGAACTTTCTGAGAAACTATCCGCGAATCCCGCTTGGCCATGCAAGCTTACAGACGGGTAGCAGCCCTAATTACACCATGACTTTAACACCGTAGCCTCATATAACGCTGAGGACGACATAAAAGTAAGAACTGGCATCTTGCTCACGCCCCAAACCGCTCATCTTTCCTAGTCCTTTCTCCAATCTAAACCTCTCATTCTCGCCACCCTCCACAATGCGTGTCCCACCCCTTCTCCACCCCCTAACCCTCCTCGTTTCCCTCTCCCTCACCATCGCCTTCCCCACCCACCTCATCCACCGCCAAGACTGCACTGGCCTCACCAACACCACCAACTGCGCCGGCGACGCCCTGCGCGTAGTCATCGTAACATACCCTTCCACCACGCCCGCAAGCGCACACACACTGTTGCAGGAAGTAGTGGCTGCCAGCGGCGGCACGTTACGGTATGAGTATGGTGCGTTGCTCTCCCACTATCGCTATGCGGAGATAAGGTCGGTTGGAGAGGGGGGGGTTGCTGATGTGGCGTAGATGACCCGGAGATACTTTACGGGTTCTCAGCCGCTGTGCCGGAAAAGGTGCTGCAGTTGTTTATGGCGTATGGGAAGGGGTTTGGGATGGGGGTGGTGGATGTAGTGTGTGTGAGTTTGCCGCCGTGTGGGAGCGTGTGTTGAAGTAGCGGGGAGAAGAGGGGGTGGATGGGGGAGGGTTACGTGGTGAGTACGAGTATTCAGATCATGCGGTGGCGGGACTGACATCTTCTTTAGGATTTGAGAAGCTGTTTGGAGTACCCCTAGGAGTGACGGAAATGTGTAGCAAAGCTGGGAAGCACTGTCCTTCCTCCACAGCTGCTTGATGAAAGCTGGACCATGAGAATATGAAAAGAAACTGGAACTATGTGTTCGAGAGCGTGCCGCCTGCACTTCATCCATGTGATCTAAAAGCAGAGTAGGAAGCCTCCAAGAAGAAGTAAGCAAGTACGCAGAAATTCAAAGTAAAGGATTCTACTCCCCAAAAAAAAAAAAGCAGAGATGCTCCGCCTTATCAGGCCTCCGTTCATCTCCGTGCTCCGATAGAACCTCCGAGCCCTTGCCCGATGCCACCAAAAAGGCCCTCCATATCGCTCTCCAGACGTTCGCATCCAAGGATCCCTCCCATCAGACCTTCCGGCACACCATCAACGTAGTTCCACCCGTCAACTCCGCCTCCACATCCCTCCTAACCTCCCACCCCTCCCCCAGATGCACGTCCTGAATAATCTCCATCCACGCCTCGATATTCGCATCCGTAGTGCGGAACCTAACCGGCCTCGTCATCCTAACCACCAGCGACCCCATCGTCTGAGCAGACAAGTGCGACATGAATTTATCGAATCCGAGCGGCAGCAAGCCTCCATGGCTCGTGAAGAAGGTGACCGTCGCCAGATTGGGTAATCTAGCAGCGATCGTCCTGCCTGTCTCGGCATTGAACGCGCTCGCGCCGTTCACGATCCGGAGGCGGCCGAGGCTGGCGATGAGGTGCGCAGGCAAGGTGTTCAGACGGGCTTGCAAGGAGGTGGTATAGTATTCACCTAGGACGTTCTCTGTCTTCTTGTTCTTCCTGGTCTTCTTGGGCGGGTTGGTCTGGATGACGGGAAGCTGCTTCCGCTTCCTGGGAATCGGCTTGATCATGAACGTGGTTTTGGCGAACGCGATCCTTGTGGCTTCGGAGTGGATTTGACGGCAGGCCAGGCGGAGAGCTAGAGCGTTCGGGTCCGTGGATCGGGTGCTGCCGAATATGAAGTCGTAGATTTCCAGGCGAACGTCTTTGGGCAGTTTGAGGAAGGGGAAGGGGATGAGGTCCTCGTGCGGTTCGCGTTGTCCGCGGAGGAGTCGGATGATGTTTTCGAGCGTTTCAGGAGTGTAGTCTGCAATGCAACTTTAGTTGAGATGAAGGAATGAAGATGGAGGGATTTGGATGCGATATAAGCAGGCGAAGATAGCGGTAATGTTGCTCTGTGGAATATGCGCAGTAGATTCGGCTTCTCACCTGGAAAGAGGTCCGCCATAGGCCTCTGAGAGTCCAATCTCGCTCTTTTCGCCTTCGGGAGGTTCATGATTGGTAGTTATTGAAGATTGGTTGACGGCGCAAAGTCCTCCGGTTAGGTGGTGTTGTTGTGAAGTTAAGTTGAGTCAGGTGTGATCTAGTGAAAGGTAACAAACCGTAAGTGAAATGATGAGACGAAGGCGATTTAATGGAAGCCTGTCTCGGCTTGGATCAAGACTATAAGGACTTTATGTGGCTTGTAATGTTTAGGTATTGATTTGGAGCATCGTTGACCGTGGCGAAATTGTGAACACGAACCTTAAGTGTCATGCAGCAGGCGTATTATCGAATTCCAGAAGCATAGCTTAAAGGCAACTACCTTGAACACCAATTGATATCAGCGATGAGCATCGAGCGGCCTTGAAGCCATCTCCACCATGATTCGAGAGTGACGCTTTTGCTGATCGAGCCTCCGACCACTTAGCAGACCTTCTACGCTATTTCCTATGTTTTTGATAACATTCTACACAGTCTAACCACCCTCCATACGTCATCAAGCTGGAGTGTGAAAGCAATGAGGTGGAGCGCTGCACACAACAGCGGACGGGGAAGGCGCTACGATTTTAAGCAGCGTGAGACTTGAAAACAATACCAGAAACCACTCAACTAAACTCGAATCTGGGCCTTGAAAAAAAAAAATACTTGCCACGATACCGATAGGATTTGCTGTCCAACGTATTCCACCGCCCCGTCCATCCGCGTGTCCCCGCAAGGTAGCCCAAAATCGTTCGAAATATACCTGGGCGCGCCAATACGTTCGATAAAAGTTGTCCTTGCTCTTCTTCTTGACTAATGAATTAACACAGCTTTTCCTCAATCGGATAGAACTCACATCTCATGCATCTACCAACCCAAGAGCGTTATTTCTGTTGCTGCTGTCTGTGTCAACCCGGATGGCTATTAGATAGGTATGGAAAAGGAATGGATTGTGATCAAACTACCACTACACTAGCATGACCCTCATCTCCAAGAAGAGCTCCAACCTTGGCACCAAAAAAATGATCCAATCGCCTATACGCCCATTTTCGTTCCAACCATGCTCGCCCAAGCCGCTAAATCAGACCGAGACTATCACTCCCACCCTTGCCTGAGGCAGGCCACACAGCCCCATCCCATATCTACGAGCTCGAACCCCCCAAACACTCCACCGCAGCCTCAAACTCCGCCACCACTCGCTCCTCAAGCACATTCTCCGCCCCTTCCCTCTGACTCCGGATCCCAGCAAGCGCCACCTCTCGCTCATTCGTCGGCGCAATGCGGTCTCGCAGTCCGCGTCGCCCCGCCATCCACTCCTCTATATCCTCCTTGACGATGGCCTTGTCCCACTCCAGCTCCGGGACATCGGATGCTATGATACCGACGGTTGCTGCCGACTCACGAAGTTGGTCCAGCACAAGCGTGATGAGGGCGAGGGAGTGTGCTTCCGATGCCATGCCGAGCGTGATCCGCCCTGCGTTTGGATTTGCGGCTGTCGGGGCATTGCGGGAGTTTAGGCAAGCGGAGGCGCGCGCGAGTTGGGTGGGGAACTGGTTCAAGAAAGTTGCGACCTCTGCAGCGATAGGGGCGCCGACGGCGTCGAGGAGGTTTAGACATAGGGGCAGGATGCCACGAGTCCAGATAGAGAAGAGGCGAGGCGGGTCGTCAAAGGGGCCCATACCGTGGGGACGGCGGTAGTAGTTTATGATGTTCGCGGCGTTGAGACGGGAGAGCACGCCGTCGACAGCGAGGTTCTCAGCCATGATGGGCATACTGGAGAGCTCGAGGAGGAAGAGAATGCTGAGCTCGCCGTATATGGGATCACGGTCTTTGGCGAGTTGGTCGGACCACGAAAAGAGGCTTGTGGCATAGCGACTCGTATTATGGTTCTGGAAGAGGAGTGCCGCTTCAGACTGGTGTAGGCGCATCTCAGGTAAGCCTAGGATTGTCTGGAGGAGGCCTGTGAGAAGAACGAAATCGGAAGGCGAGCAGCTATCTTTGTCCTCGTGAAGCTGGTTTGCTAGACCATGGAAGCCTTTGGCTACTGATTCTGCAAGGATTTCGAGCAGAGTCTGAGGAACATCGTTTACTAGCGCATTGTGGTGCCTTGTTCCTGTGCGTGCCATCGATTTTCGCAAATCTGGTATCTCAGGAGACGCAGAAGTCGGAAGAAGGAATCTTAAAGAGAGAAACAGGACCTTGAGAAGAGAACGATAGTAGTCGGATTGCTTGTCAACGAGAGCGGTCTCGAAGTTCGGTCTCATGGCTATGACGGCCTTCCAGACAGTAATGAAGAGCTTTTTAGCAGCTTCGTCTTGGATTTTCGCGTTTGCTAGCTTCTGGATGAGCACGAAAGCGAACTCCACCCTCAGCGTCATTAAGCGGCCGAATAGCTGCTCTGGTATACAAGAATCGGCGTTAGCTTCTAAGCAATCACGGGCGACCGTGATTAGAGTTCGCTCTAGTCTCTTGTCCTTTGTGACAAAGTTGCTTAGTTCGGATGCAAGCAGTTTCCAACCCTTGAGTAGCAAAATCTGCGACTCGACAAGACTAAGATTAGCATTTGCCGTACGGAACTCTGCTTCATAGCCGTTTTTCCACGAAGCGTCGAACCCAAGAAGCTTTTCGGCGAATGCAATATCATAGAAAAAGTCTCGACCAAACTCGGAAGGCATGAGTTCTGTCTTCTTGAAGCATATCAAATACACTCCAGTTCCTTCGAACTTTTTCTTCAGATTGTTCTTCAGGTTGGCGTGCAATGAGGCATTATATGTGGGCACCGACACCCCACAGTTTTCTAGGTAGCCTAAGCCTGCTATTATGTTTGATAGCGATGACATGTCTCCTAATTGTCGAGCGATGTGGAGGTACATGGCTAGGAATTCCGTTATGAGAGCGGCGATCTTATTTTCATTGCTCTTCTCGATGATGCGTATTTCTGTCTCATTCCTAATCTCTTGGGTCCGCAAAGTTTTTAAGAACGCCAAAAGCCCAGGAACAATCTTTTGATGACCCCGGAGGCTGCTCATCGCCCATGGCCAGGTGTTCTGAGCTAATATGACGAATTCGAGCATGGCAATTGTTCGTCGAGGGTTTGATACGTCAACTTGGGAAAGTTCATCGAGTGCGAGTGTAAACAGAGCTTTACCGCGAGTGTTCGATGCAGCAGTGCCCTCGTGTTTCAGCGATTCTTTGGGCGTATTACCGGTGAGTAAGTAAATCGCGAGCCATTGCTGTTTGCAACTGACAACGGCCGAGAGTAGCCTCCAGATATCAATCTCAACCTCGGCTGTTTTGAAAGGCTGGTCCAGAGTTGACACGATCTGCAGAAAGCATTTTGCGGTTCCGGGGCCAAGATGACCCAATAGTGAAGGCGGTTCTCCATCCGTTTGAGCAGCGCTTCGCACTAAGCTTTCAAGCAAGATCACGACCGGAGATCTATACACCTCATCGATGGCGTAGAGTCGGGCTAGAAGTGGTGCTGCTTTAAACAGTTGATGCTCGAAGTGAGTGCCTGTTCTTCCAAGCTGCATGCCGATGCGGATAAGGGTATTTGAAAACTGAAGCGCTGAACGGGTTTGTCGAGACCATGTTTTGTTGGCTTTTGTCAAAATCGAGGTAGGCTGGATGTCAGACGTAGCAATAAATACACTGATGATGGGATTCGTCGGCAGGTCGTTCTCGGAGGTTGACAAAAACAAATCGACGAGATACTCTGCGATTGGTTCCAAAACCACAACGAGTTTCTGCAAAAACTTCTTGTCGTTGAGCGGAGGTTTTTCTTCCTCAACTTCCGAAAGCTTGTCGTCGTTGTCGAAACCATAGACGTACTCGAGGATAGTTTCGAAGACATTACTTAGCAGTATGTTGATCCCAAGTTTCTGGTCGATTTGGATATACCTCCAACTTGAGGAGCCTTCAAAAATACCCGTTAACGTCCTCCCGAATATCAAAAGAGTACTACTCATGCTCTTCTCGGACGTCCCACTAATGGATGGAGCTGATCCAAACCTCGTGACAGCCTTCTTAGAGGACTTGCGCTTGACACATTGTGTTATAGCATCTTCAACCAAGGCTTGGAACAATCGAATGCAACCCAATAAGAAGTCGTAGTGTCCAAGGACTATTTCAGAGCCAACGAGTATTTTCGCCAAACTACCACCAGAAGTACCAACTTCCAAGAGCCGGCTCCGAGCAAGCCATGGCCAGACGCGATCGGGTGAGATTGAAACCATAGCGTGTATGAAGTGTGTGCAGTTGACAAGTAGATCTAAAGAGCCCTCAACGCCAGGTTGCTCGCACTGATGTTGTAGTTCTTGCTCGAAAATAGCGAATACAACACTGACGGTGTCTTCCGTACGATCCGATTTTATGTTAAGATTCTCGAGCAGTGCTTCCGAGAGCTCCTGGCCATCTCCACTCGTCCCAGCCACTTTTATTGAGCAATCAAGAAGGTCGGCAAAGAGACCAATGATCTCGGACGCATTGTCTAATGAGGTACGATCCTCAGTAGCATGTTCTACGTAGCTGGCGCCGGTCATGAACGTAGAGAGCAGGACTGCCAGATATTTTAGAGCGGAATGATGGTATTGCCAACTCGCAACGAAAGGCTGTACGCTGTTGTCGACAACTTGTCCGGCTGTACCTTGCGGAATGTACATCTCATCCTCTATTGGCACATGATCTTGGGGTTGGCTTGACGCTGTTATCCGCCTCTGCTTCGTCCTGATTTTTTGAAACAGCGGGAGATCTGACTTGAGGGCGACCCAGTTTTCATTCATTTCTTCTCTGATAGATTCGTAGTCATCGAAATGTTTTCGCATAGATTGCGAGAAGTTTGTCACCTTCGTAAGAAGTGGCCCAATTATGTCCCGTCTTAATGCATCTCCCTGGAGGCTTTGAGCAATAACGCTGCAAAACTTCATCAAGGGAACTGTTTCGTACGGATAGCGATATTGCGATTCGAGGATCAAGCTAGGAGACAAAACGTCAACGTCAGCCAGGACAAAATCGACAATTGGGTCACGTCGAGTGCCTGGGCCGCTTTCCAGCCAATCCCAAGAGGTCTGTCGAGGAGACATGATAGCCAAGGTGGCCCAGATGACATCAGGCGAGTACCTCACCAACTTCAATCCTAAGCAGGCACGGAAGAGGTCCAACAAAGTCTTTCGCTGTCGGTCAGCGGTCAAGATATCGGTACTTGTGCCAAATGTTGAGGTAACCATCTGAGCAAGTTCGGCGATCAGTGAGCAAACTCCAGTATTTGCGGCATATTCGGCAAGGCTTTGTGTGGTCGGGCTGTCGTCTAGATTTTCTCTGTCATCGATAGCAGTCCCGGCGTCCTCGAGTGGACTTGTCCCGCTCAAGAGGTCTACTCCCTCGGATGCGATTCGGTTCTCGCGCTCATAGACGATATCGCCGACAAGGCATCGTAGTGCGTATCCCAGGGTGCCCCATGCTAAAATGACAGGACTCGCAGGGCTTGGAAGCTCAGTGGCTCTGAAGATTCCGCTTAATTCGCGAAGGCAACCTGGCTGTGAGATATATGCCGAGCTTCCATCAAGACCGAATCTTTCTGACTCTAGGTGTTCGAGTGCCTGGGGTATCTTGAGGATAGCTAAAGAGATCGTCGCCACAAACAATTGCATGAGAGGGATTAAAGATATCTGGCCGGGTAGGTTCTGCGCCCAAAATTAGCAGAGCGCCAATATGTACTAAAAGTGACGCTTACAAAGGGGATTTGAGCGAAGAAGCTCCATGTATCCATGAACCTGAACCACTTTAGAGCTGCGTCGCCGGTTGGTAGATTCTCCGTGAAGATGTCGACGTGGATGAACAGCAGGTGTAGGATGTGAACGATCTCGACGACCTGATATGTGTTCCATTTTTCCTCCGCAGTAGGTTGTATGGACTCTGGGATCTCCCATTTGGAACCTTGCCCCATAGCTTCCATACGAGACTGAATGGCATCAACGTACGCAATGAGGGGGTCCTGCTGCGGCGATGCGCTCTCGCGCGCTTTCCGTTGTAGTTGCAAGATTGTCTCGCCAACCTCTTCAACCCATGTTCTCTTAGAAGTAGTTTTTCCCGAGCTGGATCTCTGCTGTGTATGCTTGATGGAACGCAAGTCTTCCGGGGCCGCTCTACATATCAGAATTTGGCTAACACGTAATATATGCGCTTTCTCGGAAAGATGAAGGTCTAGGAGTCGCAATTGCCGTTGCTCGCGTGAGTTGAATAGGGATGCCGATTGCGCGTTCGCTCCAACCGGTGCGGCAAGAATCGAGGAATTCGCCCAGAATGTGGAGGCTCCAAGATTGGATGACCCGGCGGCATCTTGCACACTGATGGCCTCCTCTTCCGTGAAGCCATTCAGCAGCTGTAATGTGGGCCGTATCTGCCATTCCAGAACGACTGTTCTCAGCGCAGAGACCTCATCGATCTGTGCGACACCGGACAGCCACAAAGCATCTTCCTTGATCTCGTCGATTTTGTAGTGTCCATTGGGAGAGGGAGTCACGTTGATGGCAGCGGTCTCGGTTTCGAATTTGCCCTTGGCACCTGAAGAGGGACCTTTGTAGGGTGCCAATGGATGGCTGAGGATGAGAACACTGGTCCTGTCGGTGAGGAACGACCGGAGGACTTGGTTTTGGTCGACGGTTCCCGGGTCGCAGAGAGCGGCGTAGACAGCTTTCCAGGATCTGGCGCAGTTAGTGCACTGGTCGATTCGAAAAGTTGAAGCTATTCATAACGGGGGGCTCTTACAGCAGATGCTTCTCCCCGCTGAAACATTCAGCTAGCGAAGGAAAGAACACCTCCGGGGTCTCGATGGGAGCCATGGCGCGCTTCGGTGCGCTATGAGGCCAGGCGGGGCGGGTCCATGGAAGAGGCGCGGAGGGTGTTGGTGAAGCTCCAGGTGTTTGAGCTGGGGGAACTTTTGGGTGTCGCGTAGGCCAGGCCTTGTCACGTACCTGGCGCCAGGGCGCTTGGACCACGCTGGGATCGCGGTGAAGTGCTCGTTCGCTCATCACCTTGTCGCACTTCTTCGCGTGCTGTCTAATGTGTGTTGACACAGTTTCAGATGGAAGGCCACAACAAGCAGCGCGAAATGCACATTTCCATTTTTATTTTGCGAGCCTAGTCGTGGCATTGGAAGCCATTCACGATCGTCTTTCCATTTACCTCCTGCTTTCGGCTGGTGATTGTGTAGGTCTCTAGCGATGCAGTTCACGTCTCTTCGGATACGCTCATCGAAGGGATTGCTATAATAGTGTATTCGATGCCGCGCTCTGCTCCCAATTGAGCAAGCAATTCGCGGCGAAGGAGGTGCAGGCAATGCTCTAGCGCGACCTGGGTCTCCGGACCGCCGTATAAAATTATATTTCCTTGTCCTCCCGCATCTTCAAGCATTGCTTCCGTGACTCACCCTCCAGCGCCTCAGCCCTTCGAACAAGAGTCAATTGCCTCCTCCACCAGGAATTTCACGCCGTCCCGCTGCCAGGTCGCACACTGCTCCCGATTCCAGTCTTGCCGTCGAGATGGGGCTTGACCTCATCGACCATTCGCCCCACCATCCCTCCCCCTCGGCCCCGTTGTCGACCGCCTCGAACCTCGTCCTCATCGATAACTACGATTCCTTCACCTGGAATGTCTATCAGTACCTAGTGCTGGAGGGAGCTTTCGTCACCGTCTTTCGCAACGACGAAGTGACGCTGGAGGATCTAATTGCGAAGCAACCCACACAGCTAGTAATTAGTCCTGGCCCGGGACACCCAGAGACAGATGCAGGAATCAGTAAAGAAGCTATCCAGCACTTCAGTGGCAAAATACCAGTCCTTGGCGTCTGTATGGGCGAGTGAGTCATGCGGCTTCACAGCCCGAAGCTTCATAAGCTTACGAATGAACAGGCAATGCATATACGCCGCTTTTGGAGGGACCGTAGACGTTACCGGCGAGATTCTACATGGGAAAACGTCGCCACTACGCCATGATAGCAAAGGCTTGTACGCAGGCCTCCCCCAAGACCTGCCCGTTACCAGGTATCATTCGCTAGCCGGCACGCACCCCTCGCTTCCGGAATGTCTCGAAGTTACCTCTTGGATTGCGTCGGGTCCAGACGGAGGGAAGGGGGTCATAATGGGAGTGCGACATAAGGAGTATCTTGTCGAAGGTGTCCAGTTCCATCCGGAGAGCATTCTGACCGCGGAGGGACGAGCCATGCTCAAGAATTTTCTACGGATGCAAGGAGGAACCTGGGCGGAGAACGAGCGACTGTCGAAAAAGACATACGATGAGATCAAGGGTGCGATAACGAATGTGGCGAATGGTTCTACTAATGGGACTGCGGCAACGGACAAGCAAACATCAATCCTACAGAAAATATATGACCATCGGAGGGCTGCCGTGGCAGAGCAGAAGAAGATTCCTTCGCAGAGGCCAAGCGATCTCCAGGCCTCGTACGACCTGAACCTTTCTCCGCCACAGATCTCATTCCCGTCGAGGCTTAAACAGTCTCCATACCAATTATCCTTGATGGCAGAGATCAAGCGCGCGTCTCCGTCGAAAGGCATCATCTCTTTGTCTGCATGCGCCCCGGCGCAAGCTCGTACTTACGCCCTCGCTGGAGCCAGCGTCATCTCAGTACTCACGGAACCAGAATGGTTTAAAGGAAGCATTGACGATCTCAAAGCTGTTCGACAAAGCCTCGAAGGAATGCCAAATCGACCTGCCGTCCTCCGGAAAGAATTCATATTTGAGGAATACCAAATTCTCGAGGCGAGACTTGCCGGCGCTGACACTGTTCTGCTTATTGTGAAGATGCTTGACGTAGCCACCCTCAAACAACTCTACAAGTATTCGCTGTCACTTGGCATGGAGCCCTTAGTTGAAGTGAATAATGTGGAGGAGATGCGCATTGCTGTGGAACTCGGTTCGAAAGTCATCGGTGTCAACAACCGCAATCTCATCAACTTCGAAGTAGACATGGACACAACTAGTCGTCTGATGGAGCTAGTTCCCGCAGACACAATTGTATGTGCGCTGAGCGGCATCTCCAGCCCAAAAGACGTCGAGCCGTACACGAAAAATGGTGTCGGTGCTGTACTTGTCGGCGAGGCTTTGATGCGCGCATCAGACACCACGCAGTTCATCTCAGAGCTTCTAGGTGGCTCAGAGAAGACAATTCGCACTCAAGCAAATGCAAGCCTGCTTGTAAAGATATGCGGTACTCGTAGCGCAGAAGCGGCTGAGGCCGCAATCAAGGCTGGCGCTGATCTCATCGGCATGATTCTTGTCAAAGGTCGAAACCGAACGGTGTCCACGGAGACTGCACTTGCGATCTCGAAGGTCGTCCACTCAACCAAGAAACCGACACCTCGAAGAGAACAGCCATCATTTGCAAGCAACGTTGCGTCTGACTACTTCGATCATACCGCATCTCACCAACTCTCAGACCCAGAGCATGCTCTCCTTGTTGGCGTATTCCGGAATCAACCTCTTGAGTACGTACTAGCCCAGCAGCAGGCACTCAACCTAGACGTCGTACAGTTACACGGTTCCGAGCCCGTTGAATGGGCAAAGTTGGTACCCGTACCAGTCATTCGAAGCTTCAAACCTAATGAGCAAGGACTCGGTCTAAGAGGCTACCATGCCCTTCCATTGCTAGACTCCGGAATCGGGGGTACCGGTAAGACACTTGACCTTGCTGATGTGAAGGAGACTCTGTCAAGAGATCAAGGTATCAAGGTCATCTTAGCCGGTGGGCTTGACCCTGATAACGTACAAATCATCCTGAAAGCGCTTGGGGACTTGAGGAACCGAGTAAAGGTAGTGGATGTGAGTACCGGTGTTGAAGGAGACGACGGGAAGCAGAGCCTAGAAAGGATTCGAGCGTTCATCAGTGCCGCGAAGACAGGATGAGGCTACCTCGTTTCAGGGAGCAACTTACAGAAAAGCCCACCTAAAGAGTCCCAACCATGCTCTAACTCGTTAGTTGGCTTGTGAAATATAAAATAAGTAGACAGTAAGCCAAAACGGAGAATCAAGCCGATGCAATTCAGGCTGCCTTTTATCAAATCCTCCGTAGGTGTCTTCGGTGCTGTTGCGAAACCAAATTCTCTCCCTTTATATTACTTATCTTCTTTGCCTAGTTAGCTCACTCCTCACTTGCTACGTGCTATGAAGTGGCGGTGTAGCTTGTCCTCAACTTCGCTCTAGCTTCATATACTCTGCTCACTTCTTCACCTCACTCTCCTACTCGCTCAAGTTCCATCCACCTTTCTCGAGCAGGGCTATCCAACAATCTTCAAAAGATCTACGAGAATCTAGAGCACGTCTCTTTCAACATCGAACCTCGTGGGCCTCTCCGTCCAGACCACGATCAGCCACCAAGTTTCCTCGTCGACTACCACAACCGCGGCCCCTCCTACAGCTCTGTCTTCGAAGTTGCCACCTAAGCTAGCAGCCTCACTTAAGTACAATCGCAAGTGCCTAGGTTGCCGCGTCCTTGTTAGCGTGAGGCCGGTTTCCGTCGCCTCAGTCAATTCTTTCGACACCCTCACAGACTACAAGTCCACCCTTTTCGACTAGACGTCACGTCGTCGTGGCCATAAAGGTGTCGACCTGCAAAGCGAGTCAACTAAACCTCTTCGTCTACCGTCCAGGTACTCTCACTATGAAGGACCCGTTCGGAAAGTTCGTTATCGCCGCCACTGGAAACTTCGACGTTGGCATCGATAAGATCAGAGGCTGGGTTCAAGTCAATGGAGGAAAATGGACTACCACCATTACCAAACATACAACTCATCTGGTCTGCACAAAGGAGCACTGGAAGAGGGATGTTCAGATGGGTACGTTTTCCGTTCTCGCTAAACTTTGATTTGATGAAAAGATGACTGACTCCTAATTAGTTGCTGCTGCGAAGGCCAATCCCAATATCCATATCGTGAAATACGATTGGCTTGAAGACTCGCTCCAAGCTCGAAACCCGAAGAACGAGAAACCTTATCTATGGAAGACCATCATGAGGGCGAAGCTCAAAGAGCAGAATCGGCAGAAGGCGGCAATGCGCAACGCTCTGAAGCAAGATGGTAAGCATCCCCCATCTCCCCCTTCATCCCGTCGAAAGACCCACCAACCGTTAACGCCTCTATAGCCGTTGCATTCCACGGCGGCTGCAAAAAAGCGCGGGAGGACCTGAACTCTGGTACGTTGTCCAAGCGCAAAGCCAAAAACTCAAACACCTGGTTCACCTCCTCCCTGGCCTCGCTCGAGGCCGCGCGCGCCGAACGCGCTGCCCACAAGGCCGCTGCCTCCATCCTGCCCACCCCCAGCCCTGACGGCCAGCACTCTCCCCGCCACCCCGCTGCCCAGCCCTCCTCGCCCACTACTGCCCAGTCTCCACCCGCTGCACCCCAGACCCCCACTCCCCAGCCCCCTCCCCTTCCTTCTCCTCTCCCCCCGCTGCATCCCGCTGCAAAGGCTGACAATGAGGTCGCCGTCCGCTTCCTAGACCTCTACCACCTGCACCGCGACGCGACAAACTTCATCTACGACGTCGTCCTCGCGCGCATCGACCTCGCCACCAACACAAACTCGCGCTACCACCTGCGCCTGTACGAGACGCACACGGCGCCGCACGCGTACTGCACCGTGCTGCGCTACGTGGCGCCCGGCCAGGCGGCGCCCGCGAAGCAGTACGTCGCGCCCATGGGCAGCAGCTACGAGGTGGCGTTCCGCGCGTGGCGGTCCGTGTTTCAGCAGAAGACGCTGCTTGCGTGGGAGGAGCGGCTGCTAGACGAGAGGGAGAAGGCGGAGCGGGTGCGAGCGCGGATGGGGAGCGGGAGTGGGAGTGGGAGTGGGAGGGGGAG